GAGGATGGCAAAGCATTGCTGAGGTGCAAGTGTATTGCGTTAATAGTTTCTCTCCTATACATAGGATTTGATTTTTTACTATGGAAGGGAAGTAGTTTGCTTTGGCCTGATTTGTTCTTAAAAACTCCATGTAGACTCTTACTTAGCCTATCTTCTAAGTATTTACAAGTGGCTTTATTTTGTGGTTTTTCCCCAAGATCTGAGGTTAAGCTGCCTGATCTGTAGTTGTTAGATCCTTCCTACGTTGCTTCTGGGTGTAAGCTTTATGGATAGCCTCTTCTGGCGTCTGGAGTGTTACCTTATAAAACTCAGTGCTTTCAGGGATGAACACAGAAGCTGTGAGATTGCCTCAGGTTTATTTAAGTCCCAGGATCTAGGTACCCTGATGAATTTCCTCATGCCTCAGCTACACGAAACATCCGTCTATGTTGTCTTCAGTCTGTTTTCTCTTTTCTAATCTGAGTTTTTACCTCAAGGCTGTAAATTCCATGCCTGGGCAGTTAATGTTTTTTAATATTAGACCACTGCTGGATTTATATTTTTTTTTTAATAAAACCTAACCCAGAGAGCGTAAACCAGAATCCCAGGGCTGCCTCTGACCACCACTGCATCTTGCACTGCTGCCTGGGGCTGGGCTGCGGCATGAAGGATGGAGCCTCCTGCCTCCCGGGGAGCCTCTTGGTTGGGGCGTGTGGCACAGGAGCTGTGTCTTGTTACCCATCCAAGGTCAGATATATCTAGAACTGGTGTCAGATATTTTCTGGACAAGTACGTAGACACGTACCTCTGTGTATTTTCAGCAGGCTCAATGCTGTCTCTGGTGACTTTTTGATACACTTTTGAATATGCAAGAGTTTAGACACCTCGCATTGTAGTATAGATTAGGTGAGAGAGAAGTGCTATTTCTCAGTAGCTGAGTGCACGACAGACACTTAGGCTTTGTGCGTAGCAGTCATTAAAAACTGCTGGTGCCCCCATCTATACCGTTGGGCACGCTCACCCTCCAGAGCAGTGCGACTGCGTACAGAGCACCTGCTGCAGATAGTTCTCGGCTTAGGGTAAATCCCAAACCATCCTGAGAATTGCTTGAGAGCGCTGGTTAGTCTGGGCTAAAAATAAGGCAGGGTACATACTAAATATCTGACAATATGGATGATCAAATTCCAGTGGCTCTGCTGGGTGCTTTTATTTCACCAACGTAGGCATCCCCTTTGCAAACTTTCAGGCTGAGCACCAGGTGCCTTTTAAGTTTAAGAACCTGGAAGGTTTGCATGTTAGTGGAGAATCAGCAGCCTGAAATTTTATTCTGGGCTTGTTTAGCCTTGAGAAGAGTTGTGGGGGTCTTTTTGTGTATTAATGTATGATGGTTGCAAGTAAGATGATGGTTGCAAGTAAGATGATGGAGCCAGAGCCTCTTCAGTGGTACCGTGACAGAACGCGAGGCAGTGGGCAGTAGCTCACTCCTATTTAAACAAAACAAAAAAACTTTCTTATGGTGTAAGTGCTCAAATGCTGGAACAGGCCACCCTAGCGGGCTGTGGAGTCTTCATCCCAGGAGGTGTTCAAAACTCAGCTGGACAATGTCCTGAGCAACCCACTGTAGTTGACATCGCTTTGAGCGGGGGTTTTGGATTAAACCATCTCAAATCTCCTTTCCAACCCCAGTGACTCTGTGATTCTGAGTTACAATAAAGAATTAGATGGACTCTCGGAAGCAATAGAACAAATAAGAGGACACTGAATTGTCATACAAAACAACCACTGTACAGTTTTCAGAAGACCAGTGATGTTTGAAAGTGAGCAGCATGAGGGAAGTCTCCTCTAAGATCTCTGCAGTGTTGTCTTTGCTCCTGAGGACTCGAGTACTTTAGGTCATGAGGGTGGTTTCAGGCTTTGGACAGGATTTCTGAAGAAGGAATTCAGGCCAAGATTGTGTTTTTATAGGCACAGTCCTACTTCGCAGCAGAACAAAGGTTCAAGTGCTTCGGATGGAGCCCCAAGAGCCCCAGGAAGCTCCTGAGGCTGCAGGTGAAGCACGTCACCTGCACTTGTCCTCATAGCCGATTGTACCAGGATGGAGGGAGAGACTATGGGACCTCGGCTTCGTGACGCACAGTTTCAGGGGAACCAGCGGTCCTGTCAGTGTTATCTACACCAAGACTGTTCGGGTCGCCCCAAGATGGAGAGAGTGGTGGTGGTGCTGCTGCCTACACTGTGCACCAACCCCAAATGTCGAACTGAGCTGAGATGAGCGGAGCTGAGATGAGCAGATGAGAGATGGGGTTTTCCCCGGGCTGTATCAGCAGGTCCATCCCAGCTCCTCGCCCACACCAGCCCTGTTCCTCGGTGTGAGAGCGGAGCCCACCCTGCGCCGACAGCTCCTCTCCGCTGCCCAGGGAAGAGAGGGTTTTTCTGACCCTTCTGTACCGAGCAGTATTTCTGCACTTCAGTTTCTGGGTTGATTTATTCTTATTTTTCACACTGTTGGTTTTAACTCCCAAGCTGTTTTGTTTCTTCTTGCCTGGGACCTGCCTTACCAAGCAGTTTTTACACAGGAAATTTCCACGGCATTCGGAGACTCCAGAAGTGGCCATCGGATCACCCAGGAGGACACAGAAGACCAGCTCGTACGTGTGTCAGTCAGGCAAGGCGCATTTGCCAAGTGCAAACCCACCCACCGTGCGAGTTTTGCCCAAAGAAGACAAGTGCTGTCTGCACTCCAAGCCCAACTCCAGTCAGGGTTGGCTCTGGGAACCCACAGCCAAACGGAACTGAAACCCTCGCGGGGTCTGTCCCCTCCACACGGGGTCTGTCCCCTCCGCCCGGGATCTGTCACTCTCCACCCTGTCTCCAGGAGCACTGGTGGATACCAAGCTCTTCCATCCGGCTTCTGTTTTTCTACCCAAATAGTTTCCGAAAATGGTTGTGAAAATGTCTTCTCAAACCAGGATCCCAATCTGAGGTCCTTCTGAAAACGTTGTGGTAAAAATCTGTGCAATCCTGAGACCAAGTGAGAAAAAAAAGGCAAAAGCAGCGGACAGAAGCGCTCTGCTGTGTCGGAAGACAGCCCATTTCTCAAGTACATGGTGAGAGGCAGAGGCACCATGGCCTTCATCATCTGCGCTGCCAGTATGAACACACCCTCTCTGCACAGGACCTGAAGAACGGCAGAAAAAGGAAATCTGATTTGGGGACTGGAGCATCTCTGCTGTGGGGAAAGGCTGAGGGAGCTGGGACTGCTCAGCCTGGAGCAGAGCAGGCTCGGGGGATTGAATCCATGGCTACAAACACCTACAGGGATGGTGCAGAGAGGACAGAGCCAGGCTCTTCCCAGAGGTGCCCAGTGCCACGACAAGAGGCAACAGGCACAAACTGGACCATAGGAGGTTCCCTCTGAACATCAGGAGACTCTTCTCAGTGTGAGCACTGTGAGCACGGGCATAGGTTGCCCAGGGTGTATCTCCCACCTTGGAGATACTCAGAAGCCATCTGGACACGGTCCTGGGCAACCGGTTCAGGGTGGCCATGCCTGAGCAGATGCCCTCCAGAGTTCCCTTCCAACCTCAGCCATTCTGTGATCCTGTAATGACCTGGTGTTGGAAGCAGACCCTACGTGCCATCTCCTTCCTCAGGCATTTCTTAGCCAAGGAGACCTGTCCACGATAAAAGATGTCTCCCCACCTCCGAGTGGTCAACTTCTTGTGTCTGATGGCCAGAAGGACAGTTCTGAGTTGTGCTAGACCGCCTAAGCAACATCTTAGGGTTCCAGTGGAAAAATACACTGAACCAGTACAAGACCCTGTGATTTTTTTCTCACTCTTCTTGGTTCATATAACTGGCTTCTTCAGCATCCAGCCCAGCTGCCCACAGGTTCTCCCAGAAACTACAGATTCTCCTTTAATTACCCAGTCCTTTTCTCAGTAGTGGTGACGACTGCTGGTGAGAAGTGCCAAACGCAAGGATCACAAAGGTCAGGACTCACTGCGAAAAAGCATTTATGCAGCAATCTCCCTTCAAGTGATGCTTTGGAGGGGTTGAGAAGAATTAGATTGTCCAGAGGCAGTGACCATGCTTAAATTTAATGTCTGTGAATAATCTTGTCCGTGTAGGTGGACAGTGTTTTCTGGCCTTCAACGTACGAAGAAGCACGTGTTGGAGTTTAACAGCCCCACCAAGCAACATCAAGCTTCTGCTGTGTGTGTGGACAGGCCGTCTGGAGCTCCCGCGTAACACAACGTGGGACAGGGAGTCTTGATTCACGTTTATTTAACATCGCATTGCAACAGCTAAATGCACTGAGAGACTTCGTTTAACCCCAGCGTCACTGCCGAGTTGGGAAAAGGGGAGAACTGGGACCTACAGAAAGCACGAGAAATTAATATCACCTTACTACAGAAGCTGTTTGAAGACCTTGATGTAGAGATGTTTCTGTCAAACTATTTCTAAGCATTAATGAAACTGTATAGTGCCAGAGTATTGTAACCAGAAAACGGGGAATATGAGTGAGTCACATCGTCAGCAATTCGTTGTGATGTTCGGCAGTGGTGTAGGTACCAGGGCTCTAGCTATAAGTTATCCTAACTTTTCTTCACTAGCTGACATATGGGAAGGTCGATGTTTCACTAGAAGACTTCATGATAAAAGGTATAACAGCGTCTTTTCCTGGGCAAGCCTGTCGGTGCTTTGGGAACAGATAGATATGGTGTGTTTTTTCTGAAGGTCTTTAAAAAAAAAAGGCAAATAAAATTCTTCAGATGGATAGTGAGGGTGATGAGCCAGGTCAGCCTTCCAGCGGCCACCTACCCCGAGATCAGACCAAGTCAGCCATAAAACCGCGTCTCGGTGTGCCCCCATAGTCCATCTCAGCACAGCTGGTTTCACGGTTCTGCAGCCTGGGCTGTAAGTGCATTCAGGAAATACGGGGCTGGATCCAACTGTGTCATGTGTAGTAACGGGTAATGAATATTTCGTCTAATTTGTCTCTCTTCCTCATCCACCAGCCTCGCCCACCAACAGACTTGGGTTTCAACTTTGATGCCAATAAACAACAGAGACAGCTGATAGCAGAGCTGGAAAACAAAAACAGGTAAAAAGCAAGCTTTGATCAGTATTGTTTTAGAAACATTTGAGGAGAGAAGGGCCTTCGGTCCTTGTGCTTTGTTGTTTTTAACCTTTTGTATTGTGTTAACCAGATTGTTTCCCTGGATCTGTTGTTGCAAGGTGTAGCTGCCCCATTAACCAGTTAGCTCAGTGCGGATGCACCTGCGGTGCCCTGGTTCCCTAGGGAGCAGGTTGGTCTTCTTCACTGATCTTCTTAAAATCATCTTAACTGACACTGAGCGTCAGGGGCTGCCTTGCTGTCTTGGTTGGCCTCCTGCAAACCCAGCAAACTTCTCAGAGCAGGGTAAGCTGTCCAGGTGGCAGCAGGAAAATAAATTGGCTGTGATGTAGTGGAGCGAGAAAGTTGGAAGGTTGGGGTGGGTAAATTCAGCTTGAGATGAATAAATGTATTTTTTCCTTTTACTGGAAGACAAAAATATCTGAAGAAACTGGGAGACCTGAAAGAAATAGGAGATGGGCTGTAGGAGATGGTTTCCTTCTTCTGGACATGACCCGGCCATGTGCGCTGGCAGCCCAGAAAGCCAACCGTGTCCTGGGCTGCATCCCAAGCAGCCTGGCCAGCAGGGTGAGGGAGGGGATTCTGCCCCTCTGCTCCGCTCTGGTGAGACCCCCCTGCAGTCCTGCCTT